AGTGGGAAAAGAGAATAAAAGTTTAAGCATAGATTTTAAAGTATACAAACAAAAATATCCTAAGATTAGATCATGACAGGACACACACTTAGCCGATCTGCTGACATGTACATATGAATCCGATTCTGAAGGTTAAGAACAGGAAACACAGAGAAATAAAGATATTCGTATATTGCCTTCTTTAGCATGTTTTATTACCAATGTATCAATGGAAAAGGTCGGTCCTGTCCTTCTTCGGATAAGATGTTAACTCTCAAGGGTACAAACCATGCTTATTTTATTAAAAAATGTCAGGCACCTAGAATTATTCCTGGCATGCAATCTCTTTCAAATCTTTGTTGAATAAGTGTAGGAATCTATATGCACACATATATGTAAAATAAAACACTGACGATAAATTGATAAAACTTTTCCATAATTTTCAGCATGTTGACTGCTAATGGTAATTCTGAACTATGTCTTAAGAGATCTTTTGTCTCCTAAATTAATATTATTTCCTTGATAACGGCCAACTCTTAGTATGTTCTGTCTAAAGGGAATTTGTTTTTAAGACCCCACTTCTTCCTGGAAATCAAATCTTGAAGCCTCTCATTAGAAATTATCTTTTGTTCTCTGAATACATATTGTTCTACAATGATCTATTCACTTTATTCAATACACAAACATACTCCCCACACACATCTGCCTTACTTGGAGCTGAAGGATATGGAGAGGGTAATATTTGCTGTATTCTTAAGGAAGTTACAGTCTATAATTAGGTGATTATAATTTAGAACAACAGAAGGACAGAGTAGCTAGCTGATTGGAGAAACCCGAGGAAGGCATCATAGACAAGGTGCCATTCTATCTAAGTCCTGCAGGATCAAAAGTGGGCTCTCCAGGAAAAGAAGAAACAGGAAGCTAAAACTAGTAGTAATGTCATGTTCATGTGCTAAGTATTTTATGCACATTAACTCATGTAATCTTCATGGCAACCCTATGAGATAGGTAGGTACTATGATTACACACATTTTCTAAATAAAGAGATTTTGGCAAGGACAGTCTGAGTCACTTGCCTGATGTCAAAGGTACATGTGTGAAGAGCATGGCCTGCTCAGTGAAAGGCAGGAGGGTCAGTGGAGCACAACAAGTGGGGAAAACAGAGCCGGGCCCCATTATAAAGGGCACTGTGTATAATGTGAACAATCTGAACTTCACCCTAAAGCAAGAGGAAGCCAGCAGAGATTTTTAAACGGAGTAACAGGTTGGGGTTTTTGTTGCTGCTGTTGTAAGAAAGATCACAGGTTCCCATGTGGAGCAAGAGAGGGAGACCGGTGGGCAGAGAAAACAGTTGGGGGCCACGGCAGGGGCATAGTCCAGACCTGAGATCAACAGACATGCGAGTATCTACTGAGTGTCAGGCTTTGTGCTGAGCACTGGGTTATGCACATTAACTCATGTAATCTTCATGGCAACCCGAGCACTGGGTTATACAAAGATGACTTAGGTGTGGACCCCATAAGATGGAGGGAAGGGGACAGGATCATGATCGTTCTGAGGGGAATGGGCCAGATCTGAGACCAGTTGTTAGGGGAGAGTGTGCTGAGGATGGCCGTGGAGGCCCTTGCTGGGGAGGCTTTCTGGCTGCTGAGGCCCTTCACTGAGACAGTCACTATAAGATCACTGCCCATATAAATTGGGAATTGGGGGAAGGCTAGTGTTTAGAGCTGTTGTGTTTGATCCCTGACCCCAACCCCACCTGAAAATGTCCAAAAAGTAGGGAAATCAGGCTGGAGACACTAAATTTGAGAATCATTAGACACAAGCATTTGAAGCATTGTGATTCAATCACCCAGAGGAAGTTTTGCTATGACATGAAGGTCAATAATAGTGATTCCTGGGGTGGGAAGTGGGTGAGAAACCAATGGAGGGAGAGAAACAGGAGAGCAATGACAAGAGTGTGACATTCTGAGAGTTTTAGGATGCACAAGCATCAAGGGAACAGACCGGTCAACACACAAAGGCTACACGGGTCACATGGGAAAGGACTGCATGTGACAAATGCAAGGGCACTGCCGAGGGTGGCAGGAGCAGTTCCAAGGAGCTGGTGCAGGCTGTACCAGAGTGGAGCTTTGAGGAGTATGTGGGAGTTGAGGAAGCAGAGACAGAGACTCCTTTAATAGGTTGGTGATGACAAGAGGGAGAGCAAGAATAACAGGGATTCTAATGGGACTATTGTGTGTGTATTATGTGTGTTGTTTAAATTTCAGCAGAGAGAATTTAACATCAGGAATGAGTTAAACAGCTATGAGAAGTCTGAAAAAGTAGAAAGAAATCAGTAAATTAACAGCAGCAATAATTACAGGAAGTAGTGGCCATCCCTTGGGCTGGGGAACAATGGGAAGAGTTTGTGTTATCAGAACCTAGAAGTTGGTAGCAGGGGTACCATGGACTGCGTGTTAAGGTATTTTTGTTCAGGCTTAAGTACATGGCAGATAAGGACAGTTTTTTTGCTTTTGGGGAAGAGAATAACTGGCATTGTGTCTGATTTGTAGAAGGTATGCAGCAGACTCTGTATTAAATGAATTGATTCTATCTTTGCAACAGACCCTTGTTAACATAAAACTGAGCTCGCAGGAAAACTCCACAAAATGCATTAGACCTGTTTTTACGGATGGCTGGAAAGCCTATTGAAATGGCATAGGAGCTCAACTGTGAGTGCAGGCAAATGAAACGAGCAGTCAGCAGGGCTATAAATTATCTACCACTTACCGTACAAACACAGTCATTTCAGCTCTGTCTTCAATGAAGACATCTGACTCTGAAGGCCTGGGTGGATCAGATTGCTGCTCAGAGGGGATATACAGGGAAATGGTAATGGTAGACTCGCTAAAAGGACCTGAACCCGGCTTCACATAGCTTGTCACTGGAGCAGTCATCTTTATTTTCATCTCTGTCATGAAAATATATATTTTAAATACAAAGGAGACCATGAAAGCAGATGTAGAGTATGCTTTCTCTTTATGATTACTCTTTACACTTCACCTATTATTTTGTGATCTGAGTTTTTTGATTTACTTTATGCTACTGGCATATTTAACCTTTAAGATAATTTTCACGTTTAAAAAAATGAGGCCAAAATGACTCAATTATCCACTGCCCACATTAAACACTATTAATTTTTTCGGTTACTTAATTCTGTAGTTTTAGGGATAAGGCAAATTAGAGATCACATAGTCCAGGCCATTTTTCATTTTTACAATTCAGAAACAGGTCCTATTGGCTAAGTGACCTACTAAAAAATAAATAGCATCAGAGGCAGAACAGAAGTTATGTTTTAGGACTAGGTTGGTGATGACAAGAGGGAGAGCAAGAATAACAGGGATTCTAATGGGACTATTGTGTGTGTATTATGTGTGTTGTTTAAATTTCAGCAGAGAGAATTTAACATCAGGAATGAGTTAAACAGCTATGAGAAGTCTGAAAAAGTAGAAAGAAATCAGTAAATTAACAGCGGCAATAATTACAGGAAGTAGTGGCCATCCCTTGGGCTGGGGAACAATGGGAAGAGTTTGTGTTATCAGAACCTAGAAGTTGGTAGCAGGGGTACCATGGACTGCGTGTTAAGGTATTTTTGTTCAGGCTTAAGTACATGGCAGATAAGGACAGTTTTTTTGCTTTTGGGGAAGAGAATAACTGGCATTGTGTCTGATTTGTAGAAGGTATGCAGCAGACTCTGTATTAAATGAATTGATTCTATCTTTGCAACAGACCCTTGTTAACATAAAACTGAGCTCGCAGGAAAACACAAAATGCATTAGACCTGTTTTTACGGATGGCTGGAAAGCCTATTGAAATGGCATAGGAGCTCAACTGTGAGTGCAGGCAAATGAAACGAGCAGTCAGCAGGGCTATAAATTATCTACCACTTACCGTACAAACACAGTCATTTCAGCTCTGTCTTCAATGAAGACATCTGACTCTGAAGGCCTGGGTGGATCAGATTGCTGCTCAGAGGGGATATACAGGGAAATGGTAATGGTAGACTCGCTAAAAGGACCTGAACCCGGCTTCACATAGCTTGTCACTGGAGCGGTCATCTTTATTTTCATCTCTGTCATGAAAATATATATTTTAAATACAAAGGAGACCATGAAAGCAGATGTAGAGTATGCTTTCTCTTTATGATTACTCTTTACACTTCACCTATTATTTTGTGATCTGAGTTTTTTGATTTACTTTATGTTACTGGCATATTTAACCTTTAAGATAATTTTCACGTTTAAAAAAATGAGGCCAAAATGACTCAATTATCCACTGCTCACATTAAACACTATTAATTTTTTCGGTTACTTAATTCTGTAGTTTTAGGGATAAGGAAAATTAGAGATCACATAGTCCAGGCCATTTTTTATTTTTACAATTCGGAAACAGGTCCTATTGGCTAAGTGACCTACTAAAAAATAAATAGCATCAGAGGCAGAACCGAAGTTATGTTTTAGGACTCTGGTTTTGTGTTCTTTGTGCCTTCCCGCCTGATGCCTCTCACCCTACCAATCACTAAATTATCGCAATGAGCCATGAAAAGGACTTAACACTACAGAGGCCCAGTATATCTAGCAGAAACACAGAGAACGGAGGCTGAAAAGCACTACTCAGTACTACTCTCCTCTAGATGCTAAGAGTCGTGAGCAGAGTCCTTGTTTTCAAACATTAAGTCCTGATGATCTAGTTATTTTTCTATTCTAAAAGATATTTCTAATTTAATAAGCCTAAATTCAAGAATAAGCCAGGGGACTCAACCACAGTATATATAATTACAAGGTAAATTGCTTTCACCTTTCTCGTTGTTGCCTTGAATGTAGCTGTTCAGCCTGGTAAAGCCAGTCTGGATGGCGGAATCCCAGTCCATTGACTCAACGGAGGTGCTGACCCACTTGGCCGGTCCATAGTGTCGGATCTCGTAACTTCCGGGCTAAAATGGAACAGAAAAAACTTGAGGAAGCGATTGTAAAAAGGCAGGACGTGACGTGCAACCAAACAGGTGCCTTGATTTCGGGTCCACTTGGGTCTGGGCCCAGGTTCTGGCTCCTTAGGGCCGGGGAGGGTTCCTCCCCCGCGACTGCCATCGCTTGGATTTGAAACGCCGGCGGCCTGCGCCCCACAAGCAGGGGTCGGGGAGGCGGCGGCGAAGCGAGGCTCATTTCACGTTAAGAACAAGTATCTGTTGCGTCCCCTCTGCCCCGAGTGTCCCACCGCGGGTTCTGAGACGTGGTCTATTATTTTTCTTCCCTCGCCGCAAAGAAAACAACAACAACTACTACTACTACTGAGATGTGGCCAGTATTCGGGGTTATGGCAAACCCACGGAATTTTCCGGTTTGTGCAGGAATGAAGCTAGGGGCTCACACCAACCCTCGTACTTTTCATTGTGGAACCTTCTGGGATCACTGCAGATCTGCTGCAAGACAGCCTCTCCCCTCCCCGCACCCGCCCACCTCATCCCGCACCCTTCGCGCGCGCGCGGGAGGCTCCTACTTGGGAGTCCGCGTCCCCCGGGGTCTTCCAGCCCGGCGTCTCCAAGTCTTGGGCCGCTGCGCCCTCGGCTATGCCGGGGTCTGGCTCGAGCACATCGGCCATGGGTGGCGCCGACGATCCCGGGAAAGAGCCTGGCGAGCGGCTCCAAGAAGGAG